TTTTTAAAAAATTTTAAAAAATTTTAGCCAATCAAAAGTTATCTACTATTAGGACCTGATAATTTTCAGACCCCCCCACCCTAAAAAATCAGGTGATAAATAGCGCTCCTCTAAAGATAATGAGTTTGATAAAAATAGTGAAAAATTGAATAAAAATGAAGAAAATAGTGAACAATAATCTTGCAATTCGGATAATGAGTTTGATAAAAATAGTAAAAAAATTGAATGAAAATAATGAAGAAAATAGTGAACAAGAATCTTGCAATTCGGATAAACCTAATAAAAGCGATGAAAATGAGAAATGGAAGTCTTACGAATCTAAGGAATATGAAAGCAGTGGCGAAGAAAAGACTAATTTGATAGATCTAATCAAAGAACTTTTTGAAAGAGTATTTGTTAATGATGCATGGTCATATGCATCTCTAATTGAAAAACCTTATTATTCTGCAGCTATATTTCCTACCATATGTTATAATTGTAGTAGTTCTGAAAATTTAAAGCCATCAAAAGGTGAGAAACCTCTCTGTACTAAGTGTACTGGCATTGCAATGCCAAAAAAACGTATAAAATGGAAACAGGGTGCTAAATTTAAAGGCAAAGCGAAACAATATCGCAGATAAACTAATATTACATAGTATCAGATTCATATTTACATTTTTTTAAGATGTTCTTACATGTAGAAATTTTTGCCGCTTTATTCTACTACGTTTTTTTTTAAAAACATTCTAATAATATTAAAATATTTCATGATTAAAATTGTGTTAAAAAAATTGGTTTAATTCAATACGAAGTTATTGATAAAAAAAATATATCTCAAGTAGTAACTTATAAAATGATTTTTCACGAAAGATAACTGTAATTAGTCTTACTATTTATAGCTTACTATATTTAGATTAAATATGTACTGGTTTATATGTATATACATTATTTATACCTTTTTTATTATCGTTATAATCAAATTTTTATATTATTTTATTAAAAAAATTTATATAAAAAAAAAAACTGGGTCACCAGGTCTACTTTATATTATAAAAACCAAGAAATTTATTTTGTATAGCCTTATCACAAATCTGCAAATAGAGGAAATATTACTGAAATGTTTGATGTTGGATATTGTTATCAAATTGGAATTAGAATTGAAAAGGTATGTAATTATTTACTTATCACAAATCAGGTTGATATTGTTATCGAATTGATTTCCAAGCCAAAATCAAATTTAATCTAAAGTTTGATATTTTGGTCTATTAGGAACCCTAATTACAGCTGTTTTTATAAATTCCGAGATATCTGGCAAAAATTGACTAATTGAATATTTGCTGATTCAATAATTTGTAATTTTAGTAATAATCATTGCTAAATCAAAAATTATTGAATTGATTTTTTTGCTATATATTCCAGAACTTATGCATGATCAGATATTCAAATTGTCGCAATTTATGAATTATTGAAAATTTATTATACAAATATATTAACTTTTATTTTTATTTAGATTACTTTATAGTACATCTTATAGTATTTCTGGTTTATATATACGTGCTTCCTTTTAGTCATATAGCATTAGAGCACTAGTTAGGCAATAGTAACTGAGATGTTTAGTTTTTTCATCAAAATAGGATGTTTGAGAATGTATTTAAATAGCTATTAAGATTTAGGTAGTATTTGGTGTATTATATATATAAACAATAAATATTATACTAAGTTAAATATAAATTTATATATTATAAATATTTTTGAGAATTAATATAAGGCCATATAAACTTAATTTTTTGGTTCTCATAACCCAGCCAGGTTATATTTTGAAAATTTTTTAAAAAAATTTTTTTATATAGTTTAATAGCCGGGTGAGATTTCAAAAAAAAATTTTAAAAAATTTTATAAAATTTAAATTTTTTATGAAATTTATATTTTGGTGCACCGTGCACCATGGTGCACCCCCTAGCAAATTCTTAAGTTAATATTAGTTAGGGTTAG